CATTCTGCGGATTGTGGGGGAGTGTGTGTGTGTGTGTATATATAAAAAATAGACCGTCTGCCGCTGCCGCCCGAGTGGCGCCGTCCCGCTGCTCTACCCTGGCTGCCTGCACACAAAAATGTGGTGTGCGGGGCTGCGCTGCGGGGAGCTATCGTGCGCTTGTGCCTGGGCGGCTCCAAGAAGAATGAGGAGGAGGAGGAGCAGGAGGAGGAGGAGGAGGAGGAGGAGGAGGAGGAGGAGGAGGAGGAGAGGACGAGGAGGAGGAGGAGGAGGAGGAAGAGGAGGAGGAGGAGGAGGAGCTGTCGAGAGGCCGTACTGGAACGCTTCGAGCAGAGGAAAGCCGCGGTGCGGAGCCTTGGCTTGGCGTGCCGCGGCGGCGGCGCGAACGGCACGACACGTATGCCCTGTCGGCGGATGGCGTGCCGCTCCGCTCCGCGGTGACGGGAGGCTCGGAAGGGCTTGGAACGCGAGCGCCTGGGAATTGGGACGTGGCTGGGGTGTTGTAGGATGGCGGAATCTATATTCGGGCGCTCTCGAGAACCCCGAGCCCGAAAAACGTGTTCCCTTCCTGGGGCCGCATGCTTTGCCTCCGCCGCCTTCCGCCGACCCTTCGCTGGCGCGTTGTGGGGTGACGAAATCTAGTTGTACATGTCAACTGCTCCCTGGCCAGGCGCCTCCTGAACCCAGCGGCGGTGTATGCGCCACGCCCTCCTGGCCAGGCCAGGAGGGCGTGCACACAGCTCCTACGGTCCGGATGGGCGTCGTCGCCCGAGGTTGCGCCGAAGCGCGGCGGGCCAGAGCTGCGGAGCGATACGCTAAGCACGAACTCCTGACCGTATTTGTCATTCTGTCTGGTAGCTCTTTGCGAGGGGGGCCTGGGCGTTCTTGGTGGCCTTCCTGAAGCCCATCGGGGACTGCCCGAAGTCTCCGGAAACTTCGCGGGACGGGCCGGAAAGCCCCGCGGGCCTTCTCGAGGTTCCCGAGCAGGCTCCCTGGTGCCATCAATTTCTTCGAGACGTCGCTGAGGGTATCACGGTCTTTGAGACCCTCTCAGGCCGTCATGGGGTTATCCAGGCACCCTCGTGGACGGCCAGTGGGGCCCTCCAGAAGCCTCCGGCGGCCAATAGACAGACTCAAACACATGACGGTGCCAGCATTCTTTCTCTCCGAATTCTAGAAACTTGGAAATAAAACGAATCGGCATCGAAAACAGCGCCGAGAGAGCCCATCCCTCACATCCCCCTGCGCAACGTTTACCTTTCCGGCGCAATGTCCTGGACAGGGGGAGGAAGGAATTCTTGTTTTGCTCCTGGTTCGCTCCAGCCTCAGGCATGTCTGAACGAGCCATCATCAAGGCAGCTCCTGCCCCGCGGCGCCGCGCACTGCGGTCCGCCCGCGGCGGCGCCGTCCCCAGGTGCGGGGGCGTGTCGCCCCGGAGGCCCAACGCCCCCCGCCTGCGCCAGGGGGCCGGACAGCCCCACGCCACTCTTGGGGGCCACCCCGGGGGGCAAGAGGGGCCTCCTCCTCCTCTTCCTCCTCCTCTTCCTCCCTCCTCCTCCTCCTCCTCCTCCTCCTCCTCCTCATCCTCCTCGTCTTGGGAGGACAGGGAACTCTCAGAAGACCGCGCGCCTAAAAAAAAGAGTCCGGCTGCCGAGCGCGCGCAGCGTCATCCGACTGCCTGCCACGCCCCTTGCGCAGGGCACGCCGTCGAAATCTGTCGTGAGGACGGGCGGCAAGGACGCAAGGGCCGTGCACGCCGAAGGTGGCACTTGTTTTCGGCGGTGGACAATCCTCCCTTTCGGCAAACCTCCCTTCTTGGTGGAAACGACCCAGGACCGAAGCCGACGGACCTGGACCCGCAAGAGTGACGGCCGCGGCGCCCTCTCGCGAACCGAAATCGGCCAATTCACTAGTCGACGCGTCAGGGCAGGAGGTCTACCCGCCTTCGATTTTTGGGGCGGCGGACCGCCCACACCCTGAAGGGCTGGCCAGCGAACACCGCGAAGGGCGGGCCGCAGAGGCAAGGACGCGGGGGCACCCTGAGGACATCCGTGCGCCCCTGCTACTCCAGATTTCGTAATAAAGGGAGGGGGGTCTCATTTCGGGGGGGGTCTCTTCCAGGCTATCTTGGAGGGCCTGGGGGGGTCTGGGGACGATGTTTTGGAGGGTTCCCCCACGGGGGAGGTCTGAAAGGGCTTGTCTTGGAGGGTCCAGACCCCCTCCCTTTTACTACGAAATCTGGAGTATGGACTGTGACTGTACTGCGCTGCTTGGAGGTGCCAAGTGGCTCACCCCTCGTGCGCTCCAGAGCGTCCAGGGGCCCCCGCGACGCGACCGCGCCCCTGCGCCACCAGTCGCGCCGCGCCCCCCCCCCCCCCGTGGTGGCAGGGCTCCCTCGCCCTGCCGGCCCGGGAGCGACGGAGCAGCCGCGCGCCGAGGCCCCGCGGCCTCCTCCTCCTCCTCCTCCTCCTCCTCCTCCTCCTCCTCCTCCTCCTCCTCCTCCTCCCGCCCCTCCCGACGCCGTGCTCGCTGCACGCGCTGGCAGCGACGGCGGAGGCGTGGGGAGCGGCGGCGCCAGCAGCGGGCGACCACCCACGGAGCAAGCACCCGCCGAGCACCAGCGGGCGCAAGCCGAGCCATCGCCCACCGCCCGACGCCTTCCTGCCGCCACCCGAGCCAGAGGAGAGCCACCGGGGGCCGCCTCGGCCGACGGCAAAGACGGTGGCGGCGGCGGCGACGGTGGTGACGGCGTTGATCGGGTGTCGTCGTCACCTCGTCGTCACCGCCTCTGCCCTTCTGAAATGCTTTCTGAGCCTTCTCTGAAGACACAGAAGGCTTCTCCCGAAGGCTCGATGGCTTCTGTGAATCCCCGCCGCCTCCTGACAAGGCCTCCTCCCTCTCACTCCCCCCCTCCGCGCGCCGCCGATCAAAGAGTCTGCCGCCGTCACCTCGTCGCCATCGTCGCCGTCGGCGATGTCGTCGGCGTGCCTGCCGTGCCCCAGCCGGCGTGCGTCCCACGATAGGGAGCGGGCCTGGCGCGACAGCGCGACAACGTGACGACTGCAGACTCTCGCAGATCTCGTGCTGACCTCCGAGGCCTACTTGTCCAGACTCGTCCCTCCTCCTCCTCCTCCTCCTCCTCCTCCTCCTCCTCCTGCCTCCTCCTCCTCCTCCTCCTCCTCCTCCTCCTCCTCCTCCCCCCCCCTCCTCCCCCCCCCTCCTCCCCCTCCTCCTCCTCCTCCTCCTCCTCCTCCTCCTCCCCCTCCTCCTCCTCCTCCGCCTCCTCCTCTTCTTCCTCCTCCTCCTCCTCCTCCGCCTCCGCCCTCCTCCTCCTCTTCCCTCCTCCCCCTCCTCCTCCTCCGCCTCCTCCTCTCCTCCTCCGTCCTCCTCGTCCTCCTCCTCCTCCTCCTCCTCCTCCTCCTGCTCCTCCTGCTCGCCCCTTCTTGAGCCCCAAGTGGGCGACGATCCAAAAACTGGTCTTGCGCGAGACGACGTGGCGACCTCACGCCGCGGCTCACGCGGGCCGCCAGCGCGGCGCGCCGCTCTGGAGGCGAGGGCGCTGGCGCACGAGCTTACGCAGGAAGCTTGCGCGCCAATATCGGCGCAGACGACCCCGTTTTTTTTGGCGCCGCTCAAGCGGCCCTTGTTTGAGCGTCCTGGCTGCACGCGCGCCCACGACTGGCAGGCGGCATGCGGCTCGGCGGGCGGGACGTGAGGTGAGGTGGGGGGGAGAGGAGGAGGAGGAGGAGGAGGAGGAGGAGGAGGAGGAGGAGGAGGAGGAGGAGGAGGAGGAGGCGGAGGAGGAGGAGGAGGAGGAGGAGGAGGACCCGTGTAAACCCAAGAGGCATCAACGAAGTTGGAATAAACCCTCCCTCCAAGCTCCCTCCTCATAGGCCCCTACAACGGTTCATTTCCAGTGAGGGAACTGCCTCGCTGGAAAACAACCGTTTGAAGACCCTGCAGCATGCCAAAACATTGTTCTCGGGATTCCAACGCCACGGATCAACCTGACTGTTGCGTGTTGACGATCCAAAGTTGTGCCAGAACGCAATTCCTGTAATTTCAACACAGCGAATCAACATAACTGTTGCGCCCGCGTGATCCTGGATCCTTTCAAAACACCAGCTTTGGTACGTTGATGATGGGAACCCGTGAAACTCTTGCACATGGCTTAAAACAAGAAAAAACTTGCGCCGCGCTGAAGCGAGAACGACATTTTGAAAACGACCCGCCCTCAATCCGTGGAACTCTTGCACATGTTTAAAACGAGTATGTGCCGCGCTAAAGCGAGAGCCATATAAAAAAACGACCCGCCTTCAATCCGTGAAGCTGTTCCACATGTTTAAAACGAATTTGCGCCGCGCTTAGCCGCTAAGGCGACACCCACATTGTGAAAACGACCCGCCCTCAATCCACGAATCTCTTGCACATGTTTACGCCGATGTTGCGCCGGGCTAAAGGCGAGAGCCTCATGTTGAAAACCACCCGCCCTCAATCCGTGAAGCTCTTGCAAACTTTTTAGAACGAACAAGCGCCGCGCTAAAGCGAGAAACACATGTAGAAAACGACCCACCCTCGATCCGTGAAACTCTGTCACATGTTAAATACGAGTCTGCGCTGCGCTAAAGCGAGAACCACATTTTGAAAACCAGCCGCCCTCAACCCGTGAAACTCTTGTAAACGTTTGAAACTCTGTGAAGCTGTTGCCAATGTTTAAGTTTCTCAAATTCAATGGTGAGGAAGTCTCAGGCGAAACGACCGGCCCGCCCTAAAAACTGGCTTCGGGGAGCGACAGGGAGAAATTATTAACTGGGAGAAGGAATGGAGGAGGAGAAGGAGGAGGAGCAGAAGGACGAGGAGGAAGGAGGAGGGAGGAGGAGGGAGGAGGAGGAGAAAGAGGAGGAGGAGGAGAGTTGAGGAGGAGGAGGAGGAAGGAGGAGGGAGGAGGAGAGCTGAGGAGGAAGGAATGGAGATGTTGTGCTGCCGGGAGGCCGCTCGTCCTCGGAGTCGAAGAGCTCGAGCAGCTTCATCATGAAGTTCTGGTCCACGAAGCGCTTGGCAATCTTCGGGTCCACGTCGTTGGAGACGACGAACCGCAGGAAAAACTCGTAGACGATCTGCGGGGCCCGATGTGCGCGGCGTGCGAATGGGCGCTCGGCCGGGCCAAGCTGCTAGGATCAACGGGCGCGCTCCGTACCTGGAACCATCTCGTACTGTCCCACCTCCATGCCCATCGTCCCTCCAAATAATTGTTCGGTCGCAGCTCTGGTAGCAGACCGAGCTGAGGCGTCTAGATACTTTAGACTAGCGCCCCTGATCATTTCTTGTAGATGAGCGTGCATCTCAGCTCTGCAGCTTGCCTACAGCTCGAAGGAAGTAGAGAAAACAAACATCGCCTCTCAAATTCGGGGATGGACAGACCTCCCTCTAGTAAAACGTGGCTTAGTGAAAACGACCTCGGGCCCAAACCTGGCGGGCGCAAGCCTGGAAAATGGCGTCCACGGCGCCCTCTCGAGAACCGAAAACGGACAATTCGCTAATCGACGTGTCACTGTTGGGGGTTCTGTCCACCTCCGACAAACATTTGCACTTCCCTCCATCCATCCCCCCATCCCTCCCTGCGTACCCACCTTCCCTCTCTGCACCTCCCTCCCCCCCCCTCCTCCTCCTCCTCCTCCCTCCTCCTCCTCCTCCTCCTCCTCCTCCTCCTCCTCCTCTCCTCCTCCTCCTCCTCCCTCCTCCTCCTCCTCCTCCTCCTCCTCCTCCTCCTCCTCCTCCTCCTCCTCCTCCTCCTCCTCCTCCTCCTCCTCCTCCTCTCCTCCCTCCATCCCTCCTCCTCCTCCTCCTCCTCCTCCTCCTCCTCTCTGCACCTCCCTCCCCCCCCCGGACCGAGGCGCGCGCTCGGGGCGCCCCTGGAGGCCCGGCCTGCTCCCGGCCTCCCTCCGCTCACCGAGCGGGAGGACGAGGCCCCCCCCCAGAGACAAGGATACGGCGGTCCGCCCCCCTGACTCCCGATCCGCCCTACTTTGGGGAAATTCGTAAGTGGGGCCTGGAATTTCCGCCCTACTTTTCAAGCCCCGCTGATGCCAATTTCCGCCCTACTTTTCTGTTGCTGTTTCCGCCCTACTTCTGTGGACTTCCGCCCCGCGTTATGTTGGGTGCAGCAATATCCGCCCTACTTGTTCAGCCTCTTCTAGGAGGAGTTCCGACGCAATCTTAAATTAGGGAAAAAGCCAAAGTAGGGCGGATCTGGAGTCGGGGGTGCCCTAGATTTTGTTTATGGTGAGGGGGCCCCGAATTCTTCCGAATTCTCCCAGGCGCCAGCAGGTCCTCGCAGTTTTCTGCGGATCGTCCGACGAGCGCCCAAGCGTCAAGCGCCAGCAGGATCTGAAGGAGGGGCAGGCCACATGGACGCCTGCATGCGAGGCCAAGCAAAGCGGCCAAGGAGCTGCCAGGCAGTCCGAGGAAGTGCAGAGGCCAGGCAAAGCGGCCAAGGAGCTGCCAAGCAGTCCGAGGAAGTGCAGAGGCCAGGCAAGGCGGGGGGAACGCGCCGTGCCCCGCGTCTCGTGCGCGGAGCGGGCAGCGTCCTCGCTCGCCCTCGGCCTGGGAATGCGCCTCTGATGCGAAACACGCCTCGTGCGTGTTTGTGGAGGCGTCGTCGAGGGGCGACGTCAGGGGGGGCCAGCTCAGGGGGGGTAACATCGAGCTCGAATGGGCGATGCATGGTAAAGAGATCGGCGGTGGGCCCCGGATTGCAAATCCGCACGGCCCTGGGCGTGGTGAGCTACCGGAGCCCCATCGGTGATGAGTGGGCGGGAGGGGATCGCTGCCCCCCCCACAACCGTTCCTCGCCTCCCCCGGCGTGCCCAGAACACGGCTCTGAGGCTGACGCGCGGCAAGGGGCGGCTCCGGTGAAGAGGCACTAGCGCGGGCGCCGTTGCCCCCATTGGGCGCAGCGCACCGCCCTGCGAGGAAGGCGAGAGGCAAAGGGGAGGCGAGACAAGGCTGGGCTGCCTGCGGCGCCCCTCCGCGTGGCATCCGCAGGCAGACGCATGGCGCAGAGGGGCACGCCCGACTGAAGGCTACCTGCGGCGCCCCGCGCCCGGCAGCCGCAGGCAGATGCACGCCGCCTTCTCGCCTCCCCCGGCGTGCCCAGAAGAAACCGCAGGGTGCCAAAGGGGGGTTCTGGGGAGGGGGGGTCTTCCAGGTGGGGTCCCCCAGGGGCTTCCCGCCCCCTGTTTTGACGAGGTTCTGAGGCCCCCAGGGGGCTCTCTGGAAAACCCCCTCCCCCTAAAACCCCCTTTGGAGGAGGAGGAGGAGGAGGAGGAGGAGGAGGAGGAGGTGGAGGAGGTGGAGGAGAGGAGGAAGAGGAAGAAGGAAGAGGAAGGAGGAGGAGGAGGAGGAGGCGGAGGAGGAGGAGGCGGAGGAGGCGGAGGAGGAGGAGGAGGAGGAGGAGGAGGAGGATGAGGAGGAGGAGGAGGAGGAGGAGGAGGAGAGGAGGGAGAGGAGAGGGAGGAGGAGGGAGGAGAGGAGGGAGGAGGGAGGAGGGAGGAGGGAGGAGGAGGAGGAGGAGGAGGAGGAGGGAGGAGGGAGGAGGGAGGAGGGCTCCAAGGAGGGCGCGCGGCGAGGGGCTCCGGTGGAGAGGCACCGGCGCGGGCGCCGCAGATCCCGTGGCTCGCGCGCGCGGCGCCAAGCAAAAAACACGCACGCAGTCGCCGCCCCCCTGGGGCTGCTCGGCGTGCGAGACAGCTGGCCCTCCCCAAAGGGGGAGGCTTTTCCTGCTTTCCCTCGAGGCTCATCTGTTATCTCCCTCGGAGCGGGCTTGCCCTCGTGGCTCTTTTGTTTACCCTCGGGGGAGGGGGGAAGGAAAGGAGGGGCGTGGGGCAAGGGTCTCGAGGTTTTTTTTAATTTTCGTTTCCCTCTCCGAGGGGACTGGCTTGGTCGGAGGGGCCCGCGGACTCATCTGGCCCTGCAACGCTCTGGAGGTGCCCCCCTGGGGCCACAGCAGCCCCAGGCACCGCTCAGAAGCACCCCAGAGACCCCAAAGGGCCCTCCAGATGCTCCCAAAACGCTCCCTGAGGGCTCCGACAGGGCCGCCAAGAAGGCAACACGAGGCCCGAACCGCTCAAGAGGGCCCCCAGACGGCCTACGAGGCCTCTAAGACGGCAAGCGCCCAAGATGGCCCCAACAGGGGCCCAAGAGGGGGAAAGCGAGGGTGCCCTGAAGGAAAACTAGCCCGAGGCACCGCAAGAAGCCCAAAGAGCCCTCCAAGAGGCCTCCAAGAGGCCTCCAAAAGGCTCCCAAGAGGCACCCCAATAGGCACTCACGATGGGGCCCAGGACGTAGAAAGCGCAGAGCTCTTGGCAGCCACCCCCCAAAATTGCCCAAACCACTCAACAAGTCCTCCCCAGACGCTTCTGGAAGCCCCCAATGCCCACCGAAAAAAAAGCAGGAGGCCTCGGCAAAGTTCCAAGAAAGCCTACCCACACGCCCGCACTCCCCAGAGGCCTCCTGGCCCCGCGGCGGCATGAACCGACGGCCACTCCACATGCACCCCGCCTACGACAGAACCCCACAAGCTCCGACACATCCATACAGCACCCACACGAGCTCCCAACAACATCCCCAGGCGCCGACGAACCCACGGGGTGCTGAACACGCACTCACCAGCGCTGACGCCCGAACGGGGGCCCGAGAAGAGACCGTGAGGGGCTCGGCAGAGGGACATCGAACCAGCTTCGGAGCCGTGCCCGCCGTGTTGCTTGCCACTGGCCCCGCGGCTCTCCTCGGGAGCGGCCAAGAGGGGGGTGTCCAAGAGGGGGGGGTGCAAATCATGACCGGCGGCATGTGCGCGGCCCAGCGGGGGGCCAGGGACGTAATGAGATAAGAAGAAGCGCCATGAAATCTGGGGAAATATCATGGCCCCCGCCATGATATCCACCCCCTCCTAGTCATCACCCCCCTCTTTTCCGCCCCCGATCTGCCCTCGGCGCGGCACTGGTGCGAGCCGGGGCCCGCCCGGGCCACGAGCTGTGCGCGCTCGGGCCACGCGCACGCTTCAGGGCCCAAGCAGCGGACATCGAGGCAGACGTCGGAGCCGTGCCCGCTCCGACCCCGCAGCGGTGCCCCACAGAGGGATCGGCGCTGCGGCGCGAGGCAGCGGATCTGGGCGGGCGTGAGCCCATTCCCAACCCTGCCGTGTAGAGGCTTTGACAGTTGAGCCAGAACGTCCCCACACGCGGGTCGAGGGGCGCCACTTGGCCTCCCCCTCCCCCTCCGCCCCCCCTATCCCATCCGGGGGGAGGGGGGGGGCATCTGACCGCAGCGCCGCCGCCACCTCGCGCACAGTGCCACCCTTGGGCTGCACGGACTCCACCTCGGCCCTGGACCTAGACATGATCGGCGTTGCGGCGTGAGCCAGTGAATCTGGGTGGGCGTGACCCCATTCCCAATGTTGCTGTGTGGAGGCTGACGCAATATCGGCAACCTCAAGTGTGCATTTAAGGCGCCACTTGGCCTGCAGACGGCAAAGGGCGGCAGAAAAACAAGTGCATGGCTTGGCCTTGGAGCCGCAAGCGGTTGCAGGGCAATCCTGAAATTCGCTCCCAACTGCTTGCAACCGTCGGGGAGACGTAAGAGTCGGGTCCGGAGGACCCGGGTTCGTCTGACGGGGCCGTCGGGAAAAAGACAAGACCCAGTCTGAAATTTGACGCGAGCTCCCGCTGCAAACACCCCCCCACGAAAATGGAACGTCAAGATCCAGGACGAGCTCGTGAAAAAGCTGCGGCGAACCACAGCTCCGTCAAACTCGAGTCTTACGCTCCCCCGAAACTGACCAGCGGCCCCTAGCAACTCCCAGCAAGGTGGCAAGACCAGCCTTGCGAATCTGGGTGGGCGTTTGGAAACCCGTTCCCAATTTTGCGGAGGCTGACGATATACTGGCAACCTCAGATTGTTTTTCTCATCATCGCGCACGTGCTCCAAATCCTGCTAGGGACTTCCTGCACACTGTATTAAGAAGAGGGCGGGCCTTGGCCCCTACCGCAACTTCAAATGGGCATGTTTGTCAGAACGTCACGTCGCGTTGCGCGTTGAGAGGCGCCACTTGGCCTGCAGACGGCAAAGGGCGGGAAAAAAACACAAGTGCATGGCTTGGCCGTGGAGCCGCAAGCGGTTGCAGGGCAATCCTGAATTCGCTCCCAACTGCTTGCAACCGTCGGGGAGACGTAAGAGT